CAAAAGCTGTTCCCACAGCTATAAATACTCAACTATCTAACAAACAGCAACAGAGCATGGACAGAGTTCCTACTCCAGCCCTCTGAAGATGCTGGGCCACAGAGACCGACGAAAAGTCAGGAAGAACAACCTTCAGAACATGGCCAAAGAGCCCAGAAAACCCACAACAACCAGCAAACCAAACACCTTTTCACACACTGCCACCAGTTGATCACTAAATTAACATACTTTACTTAGGAAAGATGAAAGTCCATTCAGTTCTCACTTTTTCTTAAAACAGGTTTATTGATCACATATGTTTCATTAATAATTCATAAGTATTTTCTTCAGGTTCATCAATCATCTATCTCAATCCTCTATATTAAATCACAGGTTACTATACACTCCTCAGACCAACCACACCTCAGATCTATCAATTATCTCTCTCTTTCTCTCTAATTCTGACTGTTCTCTTCTCCTCTCAGGTTCTGCCTTTTAACCTCTTTAGTGGCCCCACCTCTCAACCACATCAGCATAGAACATGAATTATGCATGCCTTATTTTGCATAATAAGGGGTGAACGCTACAATCTGCTTTTCAGCTGACCAGGAGCTCTTCTGTCTTTTCTGGATTAAGTTTCAGTTTATTCACCCTCATCCAGTCCATTGCTGACACCAGGCACTGATCTAGAGCTGAAACAGCTTCCTCGGATTAAGATGGAAGTTACGTCATAAATAATTTCCCTTATTGATTTCTGAGTGAAGTGCAATACAGTGTATACTCAGCTCTATGCCTTTTAATACTAATATTTTACATACATTTTTTCAGGAGTAAACTATTAAACTGTTCCAGTAATACCAAAGAAGAGTCTTCTGGCACCTTAAGGATGAACTAGGTTTATTTGGGTATAAACATTTCCCCATGATAGTTTATGCTAAATAAAACTTGTTGGTTTTAAAGAAACTCAGTCTTGTAAACCATAAATAGTAACTGCTATAATGAAAGTTAGCCAGTATATATTTCTTATGTTTCCTAATGTTTGTTCCCTATATGTCTCAGAGCTAATTAAGAGTTAGGTATAATATTTGAATCTTGATGATCTGAAACATGCAGAAAGAACTTTCACATTCTTAGTGTTCAAGTGAAATTTAACGAATCAAATATACAGACTTCTTTAGTATTCTGTAAATTAGTTACTTAACATAGTAGGTTCCATTATCATATTTCACTTTAACAAAAAAAAGGTAACATCTGTGGATTAATCACAAAAACTCCTTTTGTCAGTTGAATACCTCCAGGCAATGAAACAATTCCATTTGTTGCTTGTACTAATACAGGAAGCACTTGGACCTCACTAGATGAAACATTTCTACTACATTCTTCTGTCCAGCATTATCACACAGGTGACGTGTTCTTACCACATTTCAAGCAGGGAGCCTCTGAAATGTAAAGTAACATAGGAACAAAATAAGATTCTTTCTAAACTCAATGATCTGATATTCTTGGAAAAGACTGGAATATGAAGGTGGGAAATGTGTTGCCCACACTTTGGTGAGGAGTAAATTATTTTGAAATAAAACAAAATATATAGAGAAACTTCATTTTCTATTTAAATCTACACAAGGAACTGAAAAGAAAACACCTAACAATGTTGGTTTTGGAATTGCATATTGATCAATTTAGTTCTTTAAAAAAACTTCCAATTTACAGTATGTATGTGGAATATTGTGCTTCTCCATTCACAACTGGAAAAACCAGGAAATGGCCTGATACTGCTGCAGATTGTCATACCTCCATGGCCAGCAGGAAAAAGCTTTAAATAGCAAAGGGCAGCCTAAATATTGACCACACCAATGGCAGCAGTCAAGATGGTCTATAGCAGTGGTTCTTAACCTTTGTTTCTCAGGTGTTTTTGAACTGCAACTCCCAGAAACTCCAGCCAGCACAGCTGATGGTGAAGGCTTCTGGGAGTTGCAGTCCAAAAACATCTGAGTAACAAAGGTTAAGAACCAGTGGTCTACAGCACTGGTTCTTAACCTTGGGTTACTCAGGAGTTTTGGACTGCAACTCCTAGAAGCCTTCACCACCAGCTGTCCTGACTGGGGTTTCTGGGAGTTGCAGTTCAAAAACATCCGAGTAACAAAGTTTAAGAACCACTGGTCTACACAGATAACCTCCTTCGCTCACTACCATTCACAGCATAACACCAAGCAAGGGAAAATTCCAGAAGCTGACATCTTTTTTTCATCAGTTAACCACTTTTCACCAGAACACAAAGCAACTGTCAGGGCTGTTGTGTTGTTTTTTTTTTTTAACAAGAATTGTAGCTTCTTTTTGTGATTCTGGGGTGTGCATATCTTGTACACATTGCAACAAAGTAACACATACCCCAAAAACACAAAACGAAGTCTTTCAGCAGCAGCAGGCTGCCACTGCTAGTGACATCATTCCGATTCTGCAGAGAATGAAAGTCCCACAAAGTAGGACTCACCTAGCATGAAACAAAATCAAATTACCAAACAAATGATATCGAACAAAATTAAAATGCTTAACAAAACAGGAGTGACCACCCTGCAGCATGAATTGTAATATGTCCCTTTTGAAGTGCAAGGATGGTGAGAGGGGCCTGGATCAGCTTAGGAAGAAATCCGCCTCCAATGTTACTTTTCAGTTTGTGGGAAGACTGCAATTTACTGCTCTGCACCATGGCTTCTATGCATGCTGGCACTACTTCAACTGCCAGGAGAGGTGATGTTTCTCCAAAAAGGCCTTGATCTTCTCATGCAACTGCAGCTTCAGCTACTGTAATGATAATGTGAGAAGGGACTAACAGAACTTCAGGGGCTATGCAGATCTGGGCAATTGGTTCTGGTAAGCATGAGTCAGCAAGTGTTCCTATCATATATAATTTTCATCTGTCCCCAGAGGTGAAGATTACATGCTCATAATCTAGATGTAATTAGATCACACAAAGGTACTATAGGAGTTCCTCTAGAATTAGCTCCCAGATGACTCAGCCATACAAGCTGTCAAACCATTTTTAAAAACTCCTCTCTTTCCTACTCTGTCTTTGGAATATAAAAAGAAGACTATAAACTTGCAGAAGTCAGCTTTAAGACAGATAAAATGAAGGAGAAAGATTAAATGTGTCACCACAAAGCAAAAGACTGTAGCCTGCCGCCTCAAATGTTTGATTGTGACTGATCCTGTGTGACTTGAAGAATTTTTTAAAGTCTTTAATAGAAAGAAAATCCAGTACTTTTCTAGAAGAAATGCAGTCTAGAATTCTGAGCACGATGCTGATAAAAGCAACTGATTATATTACTTAACTTTTTGCCCTAATGATAAGGAAGCTTTTAATAGCTTGGAGCATCAGATTCTATATAGAACATTGCTAATTAGTAATTACTTTTGTCTCAGTAAGAAGTTCATCTGCCACTTCCCATTAGTGCAAAGTGAAACAATGTGATTCCTGTCAAGGATGTACATTGCTTCACCTTCTGTGCTAGCTTCCATTTTATTGGCAGGCTGTGGGGGTTAAGTTTTGTAGGAGCGAGGAACCTCTCCAACAAATGTAATCTAGATCTCCCTTCCTGGTTCCTTGCCTATAGTAACTGTTTCCTCATTTTGCCTATGACACTCATAGGGTGATCTAACAATAGTGAGGATGGCTACAACTTCATGGTTTAGAATGGCTACAATACACACAAATACATTTCCAAAAGATGCCTGTATACTAAAAGTCCTAAATTCCGACTAGGCATAGACTTACTATGAGGTGAGATATAAATGCAATAAATAAGTAAATAATTATTTTTCTTGTCTCAGATTCTACACTCTCTGCCCACTTTTTTAAAAAAGGCAACCACTTAGCATCCTGACCAGATTAGTTATATTTTGGTTCCATCAGTGGAACCATGGAATCATCTGGCACCTCATGGAAATTTCCCTAATTCTTCCTGAGTGTGTGTATAGTCCTAATAAGATTTTGGTCAGGGAATTCCATTTAGAGAACTCCCAGAGGACATCTAGTTTGGCACTACAGGACAAAGACTCTCTATGGAATATTATGCGGGGAATCAGAAATTACCAGAGTGGTCCTTCTCAAATAAACTTAGTTGCATTAAAAAACAAACAAAAAACAGCTTCCGTAATCCCTCACTGTGGGCTAGGATTAGTGGTATATCTAGTACAACAAAATCGGCGAGGCAACATGTCCTAGTGCTTTGTTTTAAAACTTTGTATACTATGGATGCAACCAAAATGTTCTAGCACTCAGTGTCACCTACATTCCACACTAACTCTCTGTTGCTCCCTTGGGCTACAAATGTACTTAGACTGTTTCTCCTATAACCCTATTTAGCAGTTATAGGGGAGAAATTAAGGGGAGTGCAGACCAACAACATCTGGAGGGCCACAAGATACCTATCTCTGAACGTGTGTGTGTATATATATATATACACACACACACACACACACACACACACACACACACACACACAGAGAGAGTAGTTTTAAAAAGCAGACCTGGTAGCTTTCAATTGATAGACCATTGTAAAGTTATTTTTGCTTGTCAAATGCTTTTAAGAAAATACTTGCTTTGCTCTGTTACTTACAGTGGAGTAGGAACCTTGCTGAAACAAACCCATATCCTACACTTACACAGTGCTATTTTCTTCCTGTGGTAAACGTGGTGTAGGCTGTTTTTCCATACAACTTCTATTATTTTCTTACATAATTGACTTTGTTCTTTTATCCATGGGGGGCATGTCTGTTTATTTGATTTAACCTCTGTTCATAAACTAACTCTCTGATAAGACATGGAATAGTAACTGTTATGTGTAAGATGCACCCAATTTTTAAAAAAAGAAATGTGAAAAGATGTTACATAGTCTTTTGGCTTTGTTGTCCTGGATCTCTCTCAAAAGGTTAGTAGGATGGGGCCCTATTCAGATCAATACAGTATTTCTTCATTACCGTCTTACTGCAATAAATTATGTTGATTAATTCAAAATCCTGAAACCTCCCTCCTCACTTTTGAGTAGAACTCTAAGGACAAAAAGGTATATGAGTTGACTGTTTTGTTTACTCCAGGGTTGGAACTGGTAAGATCTCTGTACTACCTAGACACCACTGTGATATTTCATAAGACTATCTTAAAAATATTTCTATCACCTGAAGATTGGACATGGGTGTGAAAAGTGCATGGGCTGTATGTAAAACATGGTTGTACATAGGTCACTCCTACCTATGAATGAAAGAGAATGTGTGATCCTTCAGATGTTGTTGGGACTGTGATTCCCACCATCCTTCACCACAAACAGCTGGTTGGGCTGATAGAAGTTGCAGTCCAACACTGGAGAATCAACCATTACTCATCTCTGCTATACAGTGGTGCCTTGCTTTATGATTGCCCCGCATTACGACGAAACTTTACAACAATCTTTTTGCGATCGCAAAACGATGGTCTAAATGGGGGAATTTTGCTTTGCAATGATTGGTTCCCTGCTTCGGGAACCGCTTCTTCGCAAAACGATGACTTTTCAACAGCTGATCGGCGGTTTCAAAATGGCTGGCGGGTAAATAAAATGGCTCCCTGCTGTGTTTAGGGACGGATTCCTCGCTATACAGGCAGCGAAAATGGCCGCCGTATGGAGGATCTTCGCTGGACGGTGAGTTTTAAGCCCATTGGAACACACTGAAAGGTTTTCAGTGCGTTTCAATGGGCTTTTAATTTTCGCTTTGCATTGTTTTTGCTTAATGGCGATTTTCCTGGAATGGATTATCGCTGTTAAGCAAGGCACCACTGTATAATGTTTACTTGGAAGAAACCATTGTCATAATTTTAGAATTGCAGAACTGAAAGGGACCCTATGGATCACAAAGTACAGCCCCTGTCAAGGAGGTACAGTGGGGAATTGAACTCCCAACCTCTGCCTAAACTACTGAGCTATCCGGCAGTTCACTTGTGTCCAGTGGGGATTCTTCACTTTTGAGCTTTGGATTCATGTTTATTTCCTGTTTTACTAATGCAAGATATTTATTACCAGAGTGTAAAACATTTATCTGTTTTGTGTATTTTGAACTTTTGTACGTGCTAGACAAATGCATCCAACTCTGAAATGTGTTTAGTTACCATTGTGGCTGTATTACTGTCTCAGTTACTACAGAGCTACTTTAAGGTGGAACTTATGGCATGTAATATAGCTCATGCACAGTCCATATAGACAGTAAAAGGTTTCTGTCATATGATAAGGTCACCATCATTAATTTTCAAATTATGAGCAGAGACTTGCCAGTTTGTGATGGTCATTATTGCAATATTATGTGTTGTGGATCTTGCCTACACATAGAATGAACTGTGATCTTAATTAGAACTTTGACAAGCCCTCTCTGATAAAATGATGAGATTATTCGTAATTGATGTCACAATCAATTACCATTTGGTTCATCACAAGCTTACTAACAGGTCTAGCCTTAGTGCTGGCCCCAGGATGTTGATGAGTGTGTGGCTGCCCTGTTCATGCTGTTACTGCGACAGCAGGGCAGATTTTCAGTCAACATCCTAATGACCTCTTTTGAAGTCTATTAAATTAATGACCCTGTCACATTGGCCTAACCTCTTACATCTTCATTTAGAGGGTTTTTTTGTGTTGCAAACCAGTGTTTTTGGAGACCATGAAAGAACAGACACTTGCATTCCCCTCTTTCAGTTCTATCTCTGATTGAGGCACATGTAAAATTATTCATTTATCACATGTTGAAGAATCAGTGTAATTGTTTTAGTGGAAACAGCATTATTTCTTTTCAGTGACATACTTATTCTTTAATTTTGATGATTCTCAGGTACCTAAAGGACATGTTTGGTTAGAAGGTGATAATCTCAGGAATTCTACAGATTCCAGGTGTTATGGTCCTGTCCCATATGGATTAATAAAAGGGCGCATTTGCTTTAAGGTACTTTCCTGTAATTTAAAATGTGTTGATCTAACAGTTTATACTACTAATAGGGATTTTCATTTTCTACTAATGAACCATTGAATATTAAAATAATACAGGACAGCATAAACTCCTAAACTGTCTACTATGTCTAAAGATGTATAAAGTATTGGCCAACCAAGTAAAAACTTACTCAATACAAGCAGAAAAGTCTTAACATGTTTGACTAGCTATATCTATTTCATGAGTGTTATATGAAAAACAGTGGTTGAAATCCGGTTGTTTAGCATAGTAAGTTGAACTGAAGTACAGCTGTTGTTATAGGGACGTGGTGGCACTGCAAGTTAAACCGCAGATATCTCTGTGCTGCAAGGTCAAAAGACCAGCAGTTGTAAGATCGAATCCACACGACGGAGTGAGCTCCTGTCACTTGTCCCAGCTCCTGCCAACCTAGCAGTTCGAAAGCATGTAAATGCGAGTAGATAAATAGGTACCGCCACAGTGGGAAGGTAACGGCATTCTGTGTCTAGTCGCGCTGGCCATATGACCACGGAAACTGTCTACAGACAAACGTTGGCTCTACGGCTTGGGAGACGGGGATGAGCACCGCACCCTAGAGTCAGACACGACTGGACTAAATGTCAAGGGGAAAATTTAACTTTACCTTTTTACAACTGTGGAATCAGTGGGAATTTGAGTACTCAACTCTTAGTAAGTTCTATTGATTCAAATGGGCCTACCCTTAGTTGTGAGTTGCTACACTATGCGACAGGATTTCAGCCATATTGTTACAAAGGAGTTACATCACTGTTTTTTAAAAGAATTCTGAATATACCTGGAGGCAATTATGCTGTTTTGCACTTGCATCTAGCAAATCATATACATGATGGAGGGTGTCCCCATCACCCTTCCACAGCAGACAGACAGAATCACATTGATGGAGTCCATTGCTTTCTCCCCCATTTAATCATATGCTCTTGCTTTTCTTCTTTGACCAGTTACTGATTCAAAAAGGAACCTATCTGCTAAGTGGACTCTAGAACTTGTGGTGAGGGACTTTGTTAAAAGCTGTTTAGAAATCCAAATATATATTTATAGTCCAATAAAATTTTAAATAATAATATTTTTTTATTTTGTTTTTGCCTGATAAACCAGAACTCTGTCAATTAACTGATATATTTTTATTTTCACAGTTATGGCCTCTTACTGACTTTGGATTTCTACGTGCAAGTCCCAACAGTCACAGGATTTATAACGATTAAGTGAATTGTGCCCAGTTATTTATTCTCATTTCTTTATCACCTCTGGGGAAAATATGTATTTTTCTATACAATAAACAATATTATATGTTGCAGGCAATCTTCATTTATCCCATATATTAAAACTTTCTAAGAGTCTTGCAGCATTATACTTTAATTTAGTTATTTTCATTATTGTTGATGGTGGTGGTCTTGATGATGGTTAGTTAAAGAAAACAAACTATTTCGGTGTCTACATGTCGAGCTTTCTCCTTCTTTTCTCCTCACAGTTTTGTTCTAATTGCAAGTATTGGAACTAGCAACAGTTCTGAATGCAGACATTCATGACATTATTGTTGGGGCTATTCTTAAATATAATGGTATACTGTGGAAGCCTCATAGTGCAGTGGTTAAACTGAAGTACTGCAGCCAAGACTCTACAGTACTCACAAGGTGAGTTCAATCCCAATGGGCTTAGGTAGCTTTCCATCCTTCTGAGATTGGTAAAATGAATATCCAGCTCATGGCCCGGGGGAGGGGATCAGTCTATATTAGCACAGATGTAGGCATCTGATGCCCTCCAGATACTTCTATAGGCCACAGTCAGCATGGCTAATGGTCAAAGATGATTACAGTTGTACTTTAAAATATCTGGGTGGAACCAGATTGCCTTTCCCTACTTTATCCTGCTTCCCAATTAGATACAGCAGATTTGTACACACATATCCCAAATGAATTATACTGCTTCCCACTTTATAGGAATGATTATTATATACTGCATTACTTTTGTTTAAAAATTGCAGCACGTCTGTTTTCAAGAGGCCATTTTTTCAAGCTTAAAGTTCATATTCCAACAACAATTTCTTCTTGGTTACACAGTGCAGTATTCTTAGAAAGAGTAATCCTTTACTCCAAAACAAGAAATTTTTGAAAGTAAGCAAATAGGCCTAAATCTAATTGCTGGTCGAAATTAGCATAAGACTCAAAGAATCAACTGCTGAATTTTATACTTCTGTAAATCCCACTGATACTAGCAACCAGATTGAGCCATTGGTACTTAAATATTATAGACTAGGACAGGGACAGCTCAAGTTAAAACAACATCATTAACAGCATCATTTGCTCTGAATTTCAGCTCTCATATAAAACTGAAACACTTGATTATTAACATTTGTGATTTTGTATTACTGTAAACTTAGGCTGGACAGTTACTTACATTTTTTGCATTTCCTGCATACTTGAATGAAATAGATGGTTATGTCATTGAATAATCTCTACAGATAATGAACAAGTGTCACAGCATACTAGGGAATTATCTTCAGCTTCATTTTCAGTGACAATGTATTTTCCACCACAGCGACATGTGAGAGAGTAGCTCCGGTCATCTGTTGCAATGGAATGTAACAACTTTAATAAAAGCTCTTTAGATAGTGGGAATATGAGTTTTTTATATCAGCTCTTAGATCAAATCTAGAAAAGTAAACTATTTTCAGAATAATATTATGGTGAAAAATTTCTAATTTGAAAAAACACTCAAGATACAGCATTTTAAGAAGGAAGTTCACAATTAGTTCTACAGGAGAAGCAGGGCAGACACAAACTTCTGACCCAGTATCTCATATCTGGAGTACCTAAGCTGGCCTTTTCCTTAACAGTTGTTGGTTTCAGCTTATCAGCTACAATCTCAGAAGCCAAAGGCAGTTGTATATCCTGTTGCACACCAGTTGCATGAGCTGGTATGTATCAAATAATGCAAACAACACCTTCTTAACTAGCAGCAAGTCATCACTGAAATTTATGCTCCTTCACTTACACTGTGAAATGATTCTGTTAGATTCTGGGTATTCCTTATAATTCTGAAACCTGATATATAGGTTTTCTGATTGATATATATAGATCTGTCTGTCTGTCTGTCTGTCTGTCTGTCTGTCTGTCTGTCTGTATGTATGTATGTATGTATATATATATATACGGTATCTGAAAACTTATATATGTATTAGTATATATACGCACGTGCACACACACACACCCCATATCAATCTGTCCATATACCATTTTCTCTGGAGTAGCTTTGTTGACACAGTTAAGATCACAAAAATGGGAAGTGTATTAAATTTCATGAGAAATCTTCACAACTCTTTTTCCCATTGCAGCTTGTGAGGGGGTTACTGCCAGTTCCCCAGGCAAGCTGTCTGCCCACCCCACCACCAAGAGTTTGGGTGAAGCAGCTGCTCTGCATCCCCAAGGAGGATGGGGAAGGGAAGCGCAGATGTCTCCAGGGAGGGTAGTGACAAACAGCACCTGTAAGAGCAAGATGTGGGTGTTGGACCGGCATTAAAAGGACAGGGAGGAGGCTTTATGGTTTTCTGGACCAAAGACATCAGGCAGGGGGTCCATGGAGGAAGAAGAAACCCGAGGCTCAGTGTTGAAGTCCATCCTTTGTGTGGTGGCTGAGCTGACTTGCATGTTGGAGGACATTTTCTGGTAGTCTCCAGGCAGTTTCCCAGCATTGCGTAGCAGAGGCCAAAGACGAAGGCCTATACCCACTCCAGTTCCAGAGCCAACTCCTCTGCCAACAACTTTGTGGTGCCTAAGACACCTAGTGGGTGCAGTGGCACCCACCCCTACGTAGCTGAAATCCTGGCAACATGAACACCAGTGGGAAAGAAGGAGGTAGCTTTATGATGAACAAGAAAGCAGCCAACACTCACTGCCAGCTACTTCTATCATCCCTCACTAAGGGGCTCCAAGCCCACTCTCTGACTAGGCTTTCTGGTCACTAGATCAGTACCAAACTGACTATTGCCATGGGACTAGTGACAGAAACTCAGTCCCCTGTGGTGTGGGAGGCTGGTGACAAGAAACCATTACTAAAAGCTTCCATCTCAACAAAAAGCACTATAGGCAGCAACATGAAGCCAATAGAATTATTGGTAAGAGTTCCTTGGGCCACAAGCTGCACTGGAGGTGAGGATGGCAGGTCTCAGAAAGCTGCAGAGAAACTACAGCAAAACATTTGCTTATGTAGGCTCCAATACATTTTTACTTGGATATCACCCCAGTATTTTCCTCCCTGAATCTATCTGCATGGTTAGAACTCTATATATCCAATGAGAAGCAGCTAGAGTGCATTTTGTACTACTAACCAGTTATTTTATCAAATGAAAAGCTACCAATGTATCAAATCAAGGGAAGCAACTACCATGCTCCAGATCGTTAGAAATGTTGATTCAAGGTAATACTGTCTACATTGCAAAAGATGTAAATAAGTTTAGGTGAAATATTCTGAACAATGTAAATGACCCTAACATTTGTGGAAGTTCTGAAAAAGGGCAGTGAAAATGAACAAGGGGATAATTGGCTTTTTTACACACAGAAAAAAAAGTTAATACCTGGGCAAGACGTTGGCCAAAATCCTACTGCATAAGTATAATAACCTTTAAAGACAAATTCCTGCAAGTTAAGAAATCACTATGTATTGCACAGCTCAGTGTGCAGCTGATAATGCCTATGGCAATTTGCCTCAAAAAGTTACACTGTACAATGCCAGCATAACAGGGTAAGAGGATTTATACAACTACGGAGTGTGAGTGTGGAGAGTCTGCCCAACCAGCCATATAATGGAACTGTATTATGCTATGAAATTCAGTGCAGATTTGGGACAGAAAATAACAAACAAGTAGCCATGTTGGTCTGTTTCAGCATGTACCCAAATCTCAAGGGGGGAAAGGGAAGGGAAAGGGGGAAAAAGACAAAGATAAAATACTGAGGCACTTTAAAGAATAATAAACTTGTTTCAGAGTGAGCGTTTGTGGATCAAAATCTTCAGATGCAAGGAGTGGAAACTCATATCCTCTATATTTATGTATTACCCTACAGTGGTAAGATCCTTGGCCAGGTGAGGATACAGATAATAAACAATGAACCAATAGATTCATTTATTAACACAGTATTAGGATAATCAAACTGTTAGTAACTGGAGGTAGCAGGCTGTAGCCAGGATGATGGATTGATTTATTTAAAATATTTTTACCCAGTTGTCCATATGCGTCATTTTGGTATTCTAAATGTATCTAGCTGTACATTCCAGGGAATAGGTAGAACAGATGAATCATTGATGCTCTGTTAAGACATTATTATCACATAACTACTTCTTTTTATGATACCCAGATTCCCATATCTTACTGTGATTCCAGGCCATATCTCCAAGTGAAACCTGAGCATCTACTGGCCATCCTTGAGTTAACTCATATTCTGTGGGGGAAAAAACAGAAAGATATAGACATTTAACTATAGTGGTGCGGGATGGCAGATGCAAAGCCCTAGCATTGTATAACCCATGCATTTCAGAGTTTGGAATAAATATCGTTTTTTAAAAAACAAACTTCTGGACAAATTACCATTTTCAATACTAACAGTAAATGTAGGCAATAAAGATGCTAACTTCAAGATGGTACTTAGGGAAACTTTTCTGGCAAAGGCTGACACAGAGGGTTCTACACAGACTTTGTCAAGTAGCACCCCTGTGTACCTCAGCCACACTGAGTATCAGGCACTGTTTATTTAACAGATTTTAAATAAAAAAGCAGAGTGGAAGGCCCTGACCAGGAACTAAGTTGCGTTTAAGCCCCAGCTGACTCAGGCAACAATGGCAGTACCAATCAGAGTCCAAAGACAAAGGATGCCAGTTAGGCTTTGGCAAATAAGACTGTGGGCACAATGGTGACCACCACAATGTGCTACCAACATTGACATGTGGAATGCGAGAGACAACCACAAATTCTGTCTTTTTAGGTTCACCCATCATGACTAGACAAAATCAAAAGAAGGTTCTCAGTCTCTGGTAGGCTTTAGATTGCCCAGAGGCTGCACGGAATCTCTGGAATTACAGTCTGAGTAAGATTCAGGAATGTACACAGTGTGTATAGATCACAAAAAAGCTGTAGGACAAAGAAACGAGAGTGAACATTCAGATGCTTGAAGTAGGTGAAGTTTTGTTGGCTAGGATCTGGACAAATGTACAGTGGTGCCTCGCTTTACAATTTCACCCCATATCGACGAATCCGCTTAATGACGATCTTTTTGCGATCGCAATTGCGATCGCAAAACGATGGTCTGAATGGGCGAATTTCGCTTTGCGATGATCGGTTCCCTGCTTTGGGAACCGAATCTTCACAAAATGATGTTTTTTGAACAGCTGATCGGCGGTTTCAAAATGGCCACTGGCTGATTAAAATGGCTCCCCGCTGAGTTTAGGGATGGATTCCTCGCTATACAGGCAGCGAAAATGGCCGCCGTATGGAGGATCTTTGCTGGACGGTGAGTTTTTACCCCATTGGAATGCATTAAATGCGTTTCAATGCGTTTCAATGGGGTTTTTATTTTCGGTTTACGATGTTTTCGCTTAACAGTGATTTTCCTGGAACGGATTATCGTCGTTAAGCAAGGCACCACTGTAGATGGATACTGAACATACTGTTATATTCAGGTAGCAATGATGCAAGGTACTATCATGGAAATGCAATCACAGTAACAAAGAAAACATAAAGTGCCACTGTTGCTAACGTTCAATACTCAAGCCAAGCGGAGGAGGTAGAGCAACAACAGCAAGAACAGAGGGACTTCCCCGTGCTCTGGGGATCCCTGTGTAAACTCCGGGTCAGCAGACCTTCCCAGCAGTGGAAGGGGGGGAAAGATCTACAGGAGAGTGGTCTTGCGAAGGAGAGCTGGAAAAACTCTGAATCCAGACAGCAATCTGTCTTTGTGAGAGTTTTCCTCAAAGCATCTGGCCTGGGAGATGCCATTTTGGGTGAATTAGCTGCCTAACTTTGCCAAGATGGGAAGTGTGAAGAAGGTTCTTGCTTGACTGCATGAACTGTGAGTAACTAGCCTTTTATTTAGCATCAGCAAGCACAGATCCAACTCAAGCTCCTGACTCAAAAGCTGAGTAGAAATAAACAAAAGCAGTGAAGGAGCAATAAAGAGAATAAAAAACCCCCACAAAAACCCAAGAACAGAAGCCAGCTAAATTGGGGTAATTAAGAGATAAATTAGTTGTTACTCAATCTCTCCTTGGAATCAAATGGAGAATTCAATTTTCTAAATGGTTTTGTTAACGTATCCCTGAAACATCGGCAAATTTTTAACTGTGTCACACTTGAAAGTGAAACTAAAGTTAGAAGACATGGACAAAGATCACTTTCTCATCCCCCTGTCCTCCCTCGATGGTATAGACCATTACACCATAATACCAGAGGTTTAAGATTGGAGTGCTTAAACAGAGTGTTTAACAGAGGCACTTGGGGGAGAATTCTGGGTGTGGATAGACAAAAAGGGGAAAATCCCCCCAAGTGGCCTTGGTGTGAGCTGCGAATGGTGGATTATAAAGCAAAACTGCCCCTGGCAAAAACTGGATTTACAATTGGTTGTTTTAAGTGGGAGTTTGGGCTTGAACTGACTCATTTAACACAGACTGGTTTATGGTTTCACTGTTTTATGGCTCCTAACTGAATGTGGAATACAGGAAGAGGGGAAAACAGACTTGGTGGACGTGGCGTGAATTGGAGAGAAAACAGAAGCAGAGACGGGCCTGGTGGATTATAAGAAGAAATATCAAAATATCTGAACCTTCTAAAAGCTGGCTTCTTTTACTTTTCAGTGGAAAGTGTTATTTTACAATAAATCTACAGTATATTCAAGAAGCAGAAATGACAGCCTTTAGTCAATGTACAAGTCCATCAAAATTAATAATGCAAGATTATTTTATGAACTACTGTATATACAGGAGTTTCAAATGAACAGTATCAATCAATTTAAGGATCAGATTAAAACCCAGATGCTAAAGTGACAACTTCAGGATTTAAAGAGGATTTGGAAAGGAATATGCAGAAGGAAGATCATTTCACTAGAGCAGTGGGAGCAGCAGAAAAAGAGACTTAAGAACCAAGATCGAAGGAAGATAAAATGATGGGCTTTAATGAGAGGAAGGCCCAGGTGGTTGAGTTGTGGCTTTATACTTATGAGAAGATTACTGAAAAATGTACATTTGTGTTTTAGAAGAGAATTTAGAGAAAGACAGGCTGAAGGCAGTGATGATGGAAGGGGTAAAAAATCTTGGCTACAATTTAGATATACAGTGGTGCCTCGCTTAGCTATCGCTCCATTGAGCGATGAAATTGCTTTGCGATGGACTTTTGGCCATCGCTGGAGCGATCGCTTAGCGATGTCCCCTATGGCTAAAATTCGCTTTGCGATGATCGCGGGGAAGCGATCATGGCAAAGCGAACTTTTTAAACAGCTGATCGGCAGTTCCAAAATGGCTGCCACAAAAACAAAATGGACGCCACTGTTTTGCCTCACTTTAGAGGCACCCAAAATGGCCGCCGCTATGGAGGAATTTCACTTTAAGGTAAGTTTTTAGCCCATAGGAATGTATTAAACGTGTTTAAATATGTTTCTATCGGCTTTTTAATATCACTTAGTGATTAAATCACTTAGCGATGTTTTTTCCGGAACGGATTAACATTGCTAAGTGAGGCACTACTGTAAAGTGGTGCCTTGACTTACGAGCACCCTGACCTACAAACATTTTGATTTACGAACAGCTCCGGCTGCAAAATTTTGCTTTGACTTGAGGCTGTAACTTAGACCTGTGAACAGAAAAAGGCAGGGGGAAAAGGCGGGAAATTCAAAAAACCTAACTGTTGGTGGTGAAGAGGCTGCTTCTTTGTAGCTCTTTTGCCCCAACGATTAGGGAAAGGAAGGCTCAGCCTCTCAGGCTTCTGGTGCCGCCAATCACCGCCTTCAGGCTTTCCCGGGGGGGTAGACTGGGCCTACCAGGAGAAGCCCTCCCCTGGTAGACCAGGGCCTATCGGGGGAGGGCTTCCCCTGGTAGGCCCAGTCAACCCCACCCCAGGAAAGCCTGAAGGCGGCAATTGGTGGTGGTGGGGACCCCCAGGAGGTCTCCCATGGTGGTGGAGCAGCCCTGGGAGACCTCCGAAGGTGGCGATCGGCAGTGGCAGAGGACCCCTGGGAGGCTTCGGACTGGTAAGAACAGGTTACTTACCTGTAAACATGGTTCTTTAAGTGGATTCTCTATGAATACACAC